CTTCCTTAATGCGAATTCGGTAGTAGGTATCTTGGATATCGATCTTGCTGAAGATCTTTACACCGGACAGCCGGTCTAAAATCTCCGAAATGAGAGGTAAAGGGTACCGATTCTTAACTGAAACCTTATTGAGTCCCCGGTAATCTACGTAGAGACGTAGGCTTCCGTTAGATTTTGGCATAAAGAGGATTAGAGCCCCCGCTGGGCTTTTGGACTCGCGTATGCGGCTATTCTTGAGGTTTTCGTCGAGGTAACGGCGGAGTTCCGCTAGTTCCTTCTAAGATAAAGGGTAGATAGGGCCGTATGGCACTTGGGTATCGGGTAGTAGGTCAATTGCGTGGTCGTGGTCGTTAGATTGAGGTAAGATATCGTTATGTTTAGATTCAAAGGCGTCGTGAACCTCTGTAAGTTCGGGTGGTAATCGGTTGGGATTCGGCGGCTCTTCGGTGGTTTCTCTATCGATTGGTAGCTATACTTCTTCGGGTAGACGCACTACGGCGAAGACATGTGCATGGTTTCGGGTCTGTTTCGCGAATTTCTTCGCTGGTATGATTTCAACAGAGGGCATTCTAAACCACCAAAGACCGCTTCGTCCGGTAATATATATATCGTGGTTATAGAGGGTTTTCATTGAGAGGAGTACTTGGCTTCCAGATAATCGGGGATCTCGATTAATCGCCATATAGGAGCGAGTGAATCGGCGTGTGATACCCCTCGAATCGGTAACGATTATTTGAATACTCTAAACTCCGTACGTTGGGGTTTAGCGATTATTAATGGCACGGATGATTGGTTCTGTTAGTGTTGCTTTTTTGAATTGATTGGTTTTGATAAATTCGAAGCTTATAAGGTTAACCTCAGCTCTACTGTCGAGATCCGCGTGGGTTTCGATATCGTTTCGGATGGTAATCGGTATGTGAAAGCGAGTGTAAGTCCCTACTGGAGGGAGAGACGAAGGTGTAGGGTCTACTCCGTCTCGCTGTCGTTTCCCTGCTGGGCGTTCTGCACCTTAGCCGATTTCCCGTGAGGTCCTTTCGGGCAGTCGGTGGCGTAGTGTCCTTTCTCGCTATATCTATAATAGGTGATGTGATCTAATCCTTCGTCGGAAGTGATTCGGCTATCTCTCACTAGTGTTTCGCGAGTGAATCCGTTATTATGGCTAGGGAAACGACCTCTTTAGCGACCGTTTCCTCGGTATCCTCGGCCTCGGTAACCCCCTCTCTGTAGGCGAGGAGGACTATCTTATCGGGGTTTTTGTGAGGGATCCCTAAAGGTTCTCTTTCGTGAGGGATCCGACGGCCTATCGTCGCGTTTTCGCTTGCGTTCCGCCTCCGATTTGTTTAGTTCCTAGAAGTGATAGGTAACGTCGATCATCTCTTCGCGTGTCTCGGGTAGCTTAAGTACGTAGAGACGGATGGTGTTTTGAAGGCCGAAAGTGAGCTTTACAAAGAAGGTAAGGGCTCTCTCCTTCTCTGCCGATCGTGGAAAGTGTTGTTCTAGAGTGTCTAGGCGTGTATGGAATTCGCGAGGGTCTTCATCCTAGCCTTAGTGGGTTCTCTCGAGCTATCCTATAATATCCGATTTAAGGCTAGCCGTATTCTTAATAAGAGTCAGGGTCCAATCCCTAAAGTAAAGCCAGTCTTCCTTAGGGTCTCGTGAGAGAGTCGGTCCCTTTTCTTTAGTGTGTCGGTACCATCTCTACCGACAGGTTAGGTTCATGTGGCTGATAGCCCTAAGGATCTTCGTGCGATCGTTGTAGTATTTCTTTAGAGCACCCTCGAATGTTTGTTGTAGGTCGAGAAGCCACTCCTGGCGTTTCTGGAGAGTGTAGTCCAGCGTGAAGGTAGGCAGGTTTTTGAGCTTGATCTCTTGGTCTTTTCTAGACGACTGGAAGGGGTCCCGGTAGGGAATCGGCGGGAGATCGTTATGGCTCCGACCTAGAACCTCAGATTTGAGGCGGTCTGCTTGATCCTGCAAGTCCTTCAAACGTTGAAGCTTCTCGATGGTAGCCTGTATAGCTGCGAGGCTGTCGTTAAGGTCCGGTGGGGTAGTTTGAGCGTTGTGAAGTGTTTCATCCTCAACAGTGGTAGAAGTATAGCCAATTATATATTATCGGAAGCTACCCGAATATCCGTATGATTTCTATTAGATTAGTAAGAATAGGCGGTTTATAGGCCGCCTATAGGCCGCCTAGAAGCCCAAAAATTTCATTAAGGGCGATACCCCCCGCAAAACACTTCATCTACAAACCACTCTTTTAACGCATTCAGTTCACTTTTACACTATAACGAAGAGGGGTTAGGAATTAAGACTTAAATCATATTAAACTAAATACACAAAGGCTAGAGAGAGTATAGAATTATAGTAGGCTTCCTAAATTTGATATATAATAAATAATTAGAGGATTGTGGTATAGAGACTATATATAGGAAGTATATATTTTCGCATTCAGTATAGGTCTTTATTCCATACTTAGATTTTGATTAGCAACATCCCCTTACTAATCTCTTATAAGCTACAAAAATGCTCAATCACGCACTAGAAAATCACTTAATAAAGGCATTTCGTAAAATTTCATTGATATAAAGGGGAAGCAAGACCCGGTATCTATGAAGGGACCAAAACAAAGATAAAAAACAGTAATATTACAAGCTTAACCAGCGATTTATCCATCCTAATTATGCATAAGAAGCAGAAAATAGGCTATTTGGGCCGCCCATAGGCCGCCCACATAGCCCATCGGGCGGGCGGTTTATAGGCGCAGCCTAGGTGGGCGGCCCATAGACGGGCCGTGGGCTAAGGTCTTCGGCCTATGGGCGGGCCGTGTCGAGGTCTACTAGGTAGTATAAACCGTTAACTTAGTGATATAAACGAAAAGATAATAAGCCTAGACCTTAAGCTCAAAACTCTAGATAGTTACTTATTTAAAATTATGAAGCGCGAGAAGGATATTATAAAAGAGTTTTATGATTTTGCTAGAAAATAGATATCGATTAATTAATATATCTTATATCGCTAGCGTTACCTATACGAAAGGAAATTAAAGACTCGAGACATGTTAATTTAATATAACTAAAATAACTATATTACTAAAATTATCGTAATATCTCCTATAATTCATCAGTTATTTTAACTAGCCAGATTCTATCCTAGTAGGAGTAATTTAATAGCGTATATATTCTAGAAGTAGCCCCCCTCTACTTCCCCGGTCTCCGGCTGCTAGAGGTCTAAGTATTGCCGCTCCGATTTATATAGTTATGCCGTAGCCTAAGAAAGGGCGTCTTCTAGCGAATTAAAAAGAGTATATATCCGTTCTTAAAGCTATAATAAAATTTATTTAGTCTCTTTATACCATTAAAGCTCTACCTTAAGATAGCTTATCTTATAGGCGACCTCCTTTATTTTGGTCTTTAGATCGGGGGAAGATCTCTTCGCGCCCTATAATCGGGAAGGTAGTCTCTCGAGATTAGATAAAGTCCCCCTAAGACATAGAACTTAATAGTCCGTAGGTGTAATATCCTTAGAAATAGGCTTAAGGCGCCCGGTTAGATACCGACTTATTATAATAGGCAGAGAATACGGATTACTTAGATTAGTGAAATACTAGGGAATTTGTCCTAGATATATACGACGCGGGAAGGAGTTTGTATTGTATTATAGTGAATGCTAAGGGCCTTTTTTCTCCTCACTCGATAACGTAAGTGAAGGCGAGCACAAGATATGGAAAAGGCCACCTAAATTGTAGTCCGAAATGGAACCATTACAAGGACTAGGACTATCAGCAAATAGCGATTAACTGTATGGGTATCTACACCACTTATGTTTCTGCCTATAAGCGGACCTATTACTATATGTGTTTGCCTAGGTGGCGTTTCCCTTGCAAAAGGTATACCAATAAATACTGAAAGCCTCCGGTACATAGAAAAGCAACGGAGAATGAGAATAATTGTTGGGATCTACGCTTTCGCGTCTATTACTGGAAGAAAAAAGGGAAAAAGAGAAAAACGAAAGACTAGCCCCCGTCGTCACCCTAATGGAAACAAACTCCCGGCACCCCGGGGTCTTTTCGAGGGATTTGGCGCCGTTTGTCCGGCGCCTAAGCTGGCTGCGACACTATTTTGGTGACGGCACGATAGTTTAGTATAGCGGGATCCGTTTCCCTGTAGTAACCGTGCACCGTGAGTCAAGATAGTGCTGCGACACCCAAATGGTACTCTTGTCCCTATGAGCAGTAGGGCCAGGAGACATTTGGTTACCGGGTATATGGATCTCGCCATATCCTCTCCACTTGATGAATACAAAGAAAGCTCAGCCTGTACATCATACGCTAGTCATCACCTTTGAGAGGTATCTCTGGCTCAGAGAATCTGATGACGAATGACATCATCGGGAAATTACCACAGCTGTCTAATAGATCATGAAGAATGGCCCATTCTGCTAGTAGTATGAGAGCGCGAAAGCATACTGTATGCTAGTTTTCTGTTACAGCCACTAGCTCATACTTTTCGGATTAGGATATAGGGAACGTTTCAAGCTTAGCCATTCGATCATAGTATTCTTGTAGTCCAAAAATACATATTTTTCCCATTAGATAGACAGAGGGCTCATTCGCCCCAGGGGGTCTAATTTGAAAAAAAAAAAAAAAAAACCCAGTCCTCGAGTTGAACGCGCTTCGCTCGACATTAAGGCAACTACAGTCATAGACAGGGGCATATATTTGAATCTTCTCTACACGGCACAATTAATATTTGCATTAGCCCCATCGTCAGTCGTAAAGTTCCTGAGAATGGAGGTCATTTCGCACGCGGTAACATGCTACATTCAACAGCATCCACTTGGTTCACCGATTGGTGTTTTTGCGATTAATTCGTATCCACTGCTGACCATCTTAATGCCGAATGACAGACATTGGAACTTCCTGTTCTGCTGACACTTCTATACACCGCAGGTGAATTGCGAAATAGATCTAGGGACTCGGAAAGGCCAGAGGAAGAGTTCGAATCGATTCAGTGATACATGAAAACCGTTTGTATGTTAGCACGTATGGGAATCATGTTATACATTAGAGCGAGGCGGCTCGAAGATTCAACATGCACCAGCAGATTCTAGCAGCTGCACGATGGTCTGGTGTCCTTTCTCGGTGGCCAACCTTAGCGCCGTCCTGCCTGATAAGCCTCCCGCATTAACATCCGCACCATTCGCGATTAGCAGCTGCACGATAGCCTCGTGTCCCATAGAGGCAGCCATGACTAGCGCCTCTCCGCCTCTTGCGTTTATATTGACACCATTTGAGAGTAGCAGCTGCACAATATTCTTGTATCCCCCCCCGGCGGCCACTTTCAGAGCCGTACCACCCCACATGTCCTTCGCATTAACATCCGCACCATTCGCGATTAGCAGCTGCACGATAGCCTCGTGTCCCATAAAGGCAGCCTTGGCTAGCACCTCTCCGCCTCCTGCGTTGATATCGGCACCCTTCGCGATTAGCATCTGCATGATAGGCTCGTGTCCTCCTAAGGTAGCCCCGGCTAGCGCCTCTCCGCCTCCTGCATTGATATCGGCACCCTTCGCGATTAGTAGCTGCACAATAGCCTCGTGTCCCCTCTCGGCAGCCTTGGCTAGCGCCTTTCCGCCTGTTGCATTGACATCGGCACCCTTCGCGATTAGTAGCTGCACAATAGCCTCGTGCCCCCTCTCGGCAGCCTTGGCTAGCGCCTTTCCGCCTGTTGCATTGACATCGGCACCCTTCGCGATTAGTAGCTGCACAATAGCCTCATGTCCCCTCTCGGCAGCCTTGGCTAGCGCCTTTCCGCCTGTTGCATTGACATCGGCACCCTTCGCGATTAGTAGCTGCACAATAGCCTCGTGTCCCCTCTCGGCAGCCTTGGCTAGCGCCTTTCCGCCTGTTGCATTGACATCGGCACCCTTCGCGATTAGTAGCTGCACAATAGCCTCGTGTCCCCTCTCGGCAGCCTTGGCTAGCGCCTTTCCGCCTGTTGCATTGACATCGGCACCCTTCGCGATTAGTAGCTGCACAATAGCCTCGTGTCCCCTCTCGGCAGCCTTGGCTAGCGCCTTTCCGCCTGTTGCATTGACATCGGCACCCTTCGCGATTAGTAGCTGCACAATAGCCTCGTGTCCCCTCTCGGCAGCCTTGGCTAGCGCCTTTCCGCCTGTTGCATTGACATCGGCACCCTTCGCGATTAGTAGCTGCACAATAGCCTCGTGTCCCCTCTCGGCAGCCTTGGCTAGCGCCTTTCCGCCTGTTGCATTGACATCGGCACCCTTCGCGATTAGTAGCTGCACAATAGCCTCGTGTCCCCTCTCGGCAGCCTTGGCTAGCGCCTTTCCGCCTGTTGCATTGACATCGGCACCCTTCGCGATTAGTAGCTGCACAATAGCCTCGTGTCCCCTCTCGGCAGCCTTGGCTAGCGCCTTTCCGCCTGTTGCATTGACATCGGCACCCTTCGCGATTAGTAGCTGCACAATAGCCTCGTGTCCCCTCTCGGCAGCCTTGGCTAGCGCCTTTCCGCCTGTTGCATTGACATCGGCACCCTTCGCGATTAGTAGCTGCACAATAGCCTCATGTCCCCCCTCGGCAGCCTCGATTAGCACCGTACCGCCCCCCGAGTTCTTCGCATTGACATCAGCTCCCTTCGCGATCAGTAGCTGCACAATAGCCTCATGTCCCCCCTCGGCAGCCTCAATTAGCACCGTACCGCCCCACAAGTTCTCCGCATTGATATCAGCCCCCTTCGTGAGTAGTAGCTGCACAATAGTCATGTGTCCTCCCCCAGCGGCCAATGTCAGCGCCATGTCTGCTCTTACTCCAGAGAATATTCGAAATTGGAGATTCCAAAATTGGAGATGCCCAGCCTTCCTCAGTTGCTTCCGAAACCTAATATGCCAAGCCTCCATCAGCAGGTTCCGAGCCAATTGATCGATCCCGAAATAGCAAGCGAGGCCCAACAGAGGCAGATCATCGCTTTTTTGCGTGCTTATCAATTTAAATAATGGGCCATATTGATTAACAGCTCGGTAGGCGCACCACCAGTTTATCCGTACAAGTGACGTCTCCTGAAAGAGAGGCCGTGAAAGGTGGTAATCCCTCTCCGCGTGTGTTGAAGGACATTTGGCATGTTCCGGCCAATGCAGTACTGCGTAGTTCAACAGTGGTGATTTCTGCAGAACTGATGCGTCTTCAATATCCAGAGTCTTATGGCACAGGTTGCTCTTCTCAATATAGTCCATGCAAGTTCTTGCTATTTCAGCATGTGCTTCTGCTGCTTTGACGCGGTATCCTTCCAATATTCGGTTGTCATCGAGCTTTTCCCGCAAGAAATAATCACTAGCTGATTGGTGGACAAGTCTGACTAACAGGTCTTGGACCTTGAGGATTGGCTCACACAAAGTGATCTGGTCACGGATGGTCTGCTCGTCGCTAATCACAGTAGAAAAGGCGATGGCCGCTGTCAACTCTTGTAGCTTCAAAGGACGAACGGCCATAGTAACCCAACACAGTATTTCGCGTATAACGGGCGGCTGAGTGCTTTCTGCCTCCCAACTTCTTTTGGCTTGCAGTAACATGCGGCTGTAGATCGCATCTAGTCCAGGCGGAAGATCCTCCAATGACTCCTCGATTCCGGTGCGTGTTTGTTTCTTCGACAGCTCAGCCACCACGAAGCCGACCCATAAGAAAGTACCTTGGGCTCGTTCCAGAAGAGTAGTCTCCACTTTCTGACGGATCTTGTTGAAATCGGGTATCTTTTCCAGCTTTTGAATGCTAGCGGTAATGAACTGTTGAATATCATGGCTCACGTGCTCGTCGTTGTCAGGATCTAGCTTCACCTGCGGGAAAGCCGCCAGCCCAGAGATCCTCCGACTGACAATCGCTAATTTGAGACCCCTATGGGACTGTATTGAGTGGCCCGATGAGAAGTACTTGTGAAATTTGGTGGTGAGTAGTCTTAATGACGCGTCGTCGCATTCGTCGAGTCCATCGAGTACGCAAAAGATTAAGCCGGGTTTGGATTGTACGAGCGTTCTCAATATAACCCAGAGAAAGTCCGGGGATGATAACGTCATTCGAGTTTTTTCCGGGCTTTCAAAGTATGATGAGACAGACGTGAATAGATCCCGACGCTTCGTTAGCAGTTGGTACACCAGGCTCCTGAGAACGGTCACAGCGCTGTTGCGCTTCTTGTCTTGATGACTGCAAAAGTAATACAGAGTTTCTGTGGATTCCATCTCTTTGGTGTGTCTCTCAAGCTCCTCGGTGAGAAAAATTGAGAGCATTGTTTTTCCTTTGCCAGGACCACCACAAATCCAAAGACATTGTGAGTCACCATGAAGCCAATGTTTGTAGGATCCATTATCTCTAATCCATTCGCAAGTGCCTTGGGTCCGTTCGCCTTTGCTGCTTTTGAGGGTCTCTAGATCAATGAGTGGATCGGTGAGGAGTAATTCATTTCGACAGGCGTCGATTTTCTTTTCAAGCTCTTCTATTCGGGTTTATTTCACAGTCAACATTTGGTCAGGTAGGGGAAGAGTCGCTCGGGTGTACTAACTCGAGGGATCCTCGCTGGTGTCTTCGGATGTAGTTGTCAGCAAGTGTCAACTATTCCCTGCGCAGGAGGCTATGAATAAGTAAGAAAAGCCACCCACAGTGATAGTGCGCATCTCCCAAGTGAGCTTTCCCACCAGAGACGGAGATATTGTTGAACCGATGTCCGCTCGGGGTGGGACTTTCATCAGACGCCATCCTGAAGCTACAGGTAACACGTATGTTTCAACACGCCCTTGCCAGGTATTCGATGAGAAATCAAAGTCTCCGTAGGGGTAAGCCCAAGCGTTTAAGCGTTTATACATGCGTGCGTGCGGGGTAGGAGCTGGCACAGCCATGTTGGGGGCTGAATCGTGCGCTCATATTATCCACCTTTTAAGCGCCATTCTCAGCCTCTAAAATTACCCATGCAAAGTATTCTCTTGTTCAAAACTTGCACCAGCAAATTCGACCTACCATATGGCTGAACCTTTCGGAATTGCAGCAGGTGCTGTCGGCATTGCTGCTGCGTTCACTGCCTGTGTGGATTGCTTCCACTACGTCCAGTTCGGCCGTCATTTTGGACGAGACTTTCAAACGGATCTGCTGTCCCTTGACTGCGCAAAGCTCCGTCTGACACGCTGGGGGCAGGCTGTCAACATTCTCAATGATCCCCAGCTGGGCAGACCTGATGTCACTTCAGCCGAAATCCAGACTGTGAAGAGTTCCTTGCTTCAGATCAAAGCCCTCTTTGACGACACGGAGAAAATTTCGAAAAAGTACACGCTCGACGCGAAAGCCGAAGACGATCTTTCGATACTTTCAAATAGTGACATGGATCCTGCAGTCTTAGCACTCGCCAACAGGATGAAAGCGCTTGCAAGTAAAAGGCAGCAAGGGCGCTGTATCTCCAAGAGAGCAAGCTGGGCTCTGTACCACCGGTCGGAACTCAGTGAGCTCATCACAAACATTATCTCTCTTATAGATAACGTGGAAAAGCTGTTCCCTGCATCGCGGATTCAGCTGGAGCTCGTCAAGCAAGAAATAGCGGAAATTCAAGGTAACAACCGGAGGGTTCTGAAACTAGTTGAGGCGGCTGCGCAGGGTGTTGACGATATGCTTCGCACGGCTGCAGGAGAAGCATATACTGGTCATCGATACTTGAGTGTGAATATTGAAGGCAAGGCCCACACTGGGGACGCGTTTGACAATGACTGGACGAGTAAAGATGTTGGAGCCAAGTCTCATGTATATGACGGTGTGATGGTGAAGACAGAGGGCAAAGCGTTGGTGGGAAACAAGTTTGGAGGAAGGGATTTTTGGGATGACTGATGATTGACAGTATATTACTGGTCTTGAATAGACCTGTAATGGGACATAAACCCGCGCTCTTATGTATACTCTGAAATCGACAACTGGAACACTTTCGTTCTGCATCGAGACTATTTAGCCGACTGAGTGTTGAACGTACGCACATATGGCGGACACCAGCGCCAAACAGAAACAGCCGACATTCCACGCCGTTCCCAATACTCTGGCTCGAGAATGCAGTCAGGAAAGCGGTGACTAAATATATTCGTTTCTTTCGCTGGTGCCACGACTACGGAAGAGGCAACGAGCACGAGCAACAAGTACGAGCACGAGCAACAAGTACGAGCACTACTGACGACTAGGCCTTGAGGGCTAGGTGCTACAAATGGCTGTTGTCACATGACGCTAAAAGCCTCTTTTGGATTGGATGAACCCGCCAGCAGTTGCGTCCTAGAGACATTGAGAGAGAATTGATTGCAACGACGAGCGGCGCTTCTTTTCTTTTCCCTCATTCTCATACGCAGCTTTAGCCGAGCTACTAGCCTCTTAGCACCCCGTTAGACTTCAGATGTCGGATCATATTCCCATAGGTTGGGGGCTAGAAGACCAAAGCGTGAAGCCGCTTTCAAATACTGCTGGCTTTACTGCCAGTAAAGCGTTTGGAAAGGCTTCCCCTTCTGAAGGCATTCGCGCAAACCCCGTCACAGGCTCATGATGGAGCCGCCGGCGTGCTGTGCTATGCCAGATATTGGGATGCAAGAGGAGGTCCGATACGGCAAGGCGTGGACGTCGGGGATGGGGTCTCCAACACCACGATGGAAACATCACGGTATCAGGCGAGAATGCCACGGTATAGGGACAACAGAGCATGCAACCGTGACTTTTCCATCGATACCCCCTAAATATCACGTATCCGGTGCTGCCTATGAATTACGCCATGCGGTATAGCGTGCCTGTTTGGGTTTAGTGCAGCTAGCTGACCTCTCGTCCCGGTGCGTGGTGCTAAAGTCCCCTCCATCGCCGCTTCAACGTTTCGTGGTTTTTCACCCTTTCTGCTCTTTCTTTCTCCCCATTCCCCATGCACGACCGGCTAGCGAGGCATTTCTGCCAATGATCCGGACCACCGAGCTCCGTCCCCCCCCCTTTGTCGCCGGTGCGAACCGTCCAGTCCCTTGCTGTCCTTTGAGCGCTCGAGCTCAGATCCGCGGCGCTGTCTCTCGCCGTGATCTGTTTCCGCTCAGCTTGACCGATCTCTGTTTAGCGAGGCACAATTCGCAACTCAACGGACAATACCACTGACATCCTTGCATTTGAACTAGTCCTCCCATATTTATTCCTTGAACAACTAAACAAGGTAATTAAATGCCTCTTGATCTGTTGAAAGGCTTTGAACCTGCCAGACTAACCATGATATCTTATCCGGGTCGGCGGAGCGCAATGTAGCAGCCACTCGATTTAAAGCAGTTTGAATTTTCAACAGTTCGGCTATGTACTCCTTCCGTCTACGATCACTGTTCCGATCGTATAGACCCTTTTGTGCGCTAGTTGCACATCTTGTGCAGGGCGTCGTTCCAGAGCACTACTTCCAGCTTATGATGTTAGCCCTGTCCTCAAACCTAGCAATTGTTTATCGAGAACTGGACCTTAGTTTTCATTCTCTGGCACTCTGTGCAAGCAAGAGAAATGTTGCATCGCATCTCTTTACCCGGGCCTGCTTCCAAGGACTGTGGTGTGTGCTTATCTTCCGCCGGGTGAAGCGTACGCATGGTCTTGATCTTCCCTATTGTGGTTCGAGCTCTCTGTTAAATAAACACGAACTGAATGTTTCGACTGGGCTAGATAAATTTTTGAAGGAGATCAGGGAGTGCCCTCAGAACTCAGGGGTAAAGCAAAGCAAATCGGTTTCTCACTGCAGGACGCTTTCTTTGTTTTCTCGATAAAGTACGGCATCCTTTGTAACAAACAAAGAACGGACTATGGAGACCCACTGTGACTCCAGCCCACAGCAGGATTGGCTAACTCGCTCAAGGAGCTCGTCTACCCTGTTCTTCTACCACCACCACAGATAAGTAGAACCACGTATTTCGGTGTGCTAACCATCGCCGTGGTGCGTGAGTATCTTTGTTTCTTTCACATAAGCAAAGAGGCTTACCGTTGTTGATATTGACTTCTGAGCTTCCATCACGAAGTTTGTCCGCCCTGAAGGGGCGGGCCGACTCTCTGGATGAACTATGATACACCAATCATGCTTCGGCAAATCGTCATGATATATTTATCGCTGTAGGCTTAGCTGCCTGTCTTTGAATAAGGACACCTCTGAGCTTGAACACCCTCTGAGATCGCGAGACGCCCGACGAACTTGAACGAGGAAAACAACGAAGACAGCACACGAAAGACGAGACGAATAAATGGAAACTCACAAAATGGCGTTGAGCGGCGGGGGGGAATACAACTGGCGGCGCAGCAGACTGAACAGATCGTTTGGGAGCTCCATGGAATGGCCTGGGTCGGAACCTCGTTAAAGCGAAGCTACGGGCAACTCTGATCTGGACGTCCTATGGCATCTTCCAAGCGGCATACACAGTCTGGCGACGACCCTCCACGAACTCGTTAAGGCACAGCCACGGGTGTTCGAGAGGGCTGTAAAGCCAGGGACACAAGCTTGGTTAGTGAAGGACGGCCGAGGTATCCTGCTAGGCCAACGGGGATACTTTTAGCAGCCTTTGCGAGACACGGTCGGCCAGCAGAGAGAGATCTCGGCTGGTAACGCGAAGTAGGGAAACTTCTCCTTGTGGGGCGTGGCACATAATGGTAGTGACGGACGGGTCGAGAGGACCCGACGAGACTGTCTATGTGGCCCGAGAGGACGGACGCGCGTGTCGGTGTGCAAATAGACAGAAACAGCTACCTCACTCGCACTGAGGACCTGAAGTTAACCAGCCAATGTGGTGTCGTCCAAGTGGGGCAGGTCCGACCTGTCTTACTATCTCACTCGCACTGAGAACCTGCGGCTGGGCGATGGATGTGATGTCGTTCTAGCTGAAATGCTGATGATGCATGCTTAAGGAGCAAACCTGGAGACACCTGGGGTGAGAGGTTTTTGGCGGGGCCTCAATATCTGGAGGGCGTCCATCGAAAGATGCGCGTGCCGAAAACCAGGGCAGTGGCCTGAACAAGCGGGCCTGGTGAAGCTGCTTTACATCAGTTCCAAGAACTCGTTAAGGCTTTGCCACGGGCAATCTTGGCTGTGTAGTCATGTCTCTTGGCCCACCTCTCCGCCGACCGTCCTCTATCTCCAAATCCGCGCCTCCCCCCACTCCACCCGAGCGACCTACCCCACAACGCACCACCCAAGAGAAATTCTTTATATCGACCACCTATTCCACCATCGCCGCCAGAGCCCTGTCATTCCAAGGACAAGTGCTCAGCGGCATCACCCCGCTACAGCTGGCCAAGAATGGCTTTCACTACCAGCCTTTCTCAAGTGGCGGCCTGGCTTGCTGCTTTGCGTGTCAATCAGCCAGACGCCTAGATAGCCTCCAACGCACACCTTTCCAAGAGTTACAGCAACTACATAGAGCGGATTGCATATGGAAAGTCATCTCCAGTGACTTAAGACAACATCTCGACTCCACCGACACGTCTCCCCTTTCAATCGATATACCCCCTCCGCCTCACCAGTCTTCCCCCAGCCCCTTTCTTTCCTTAAAGAGCGACCTCAAGAAGACGACTACCGACGCTAGTACATAAACACAATCTAAAACAGAACAAACGGTGCTTCCCACAGCCGAGGAATGCTCTAACGACTCCCGCGCTCACCCGCTATCCACTACAACCAACCCAGAATCACGCTTACCTCCACCAACCCTCTCGCCTTAGCCTCCCCGTCCGATACCAACCATCACTACCCCTCCCCTAAACCAGCCAACCTATGCTTCGATCCTCCAGCAACCCACTACGGCTCTATAATCGACTTCTAAAACCCGAGAACCAATCCCTTTCAATAGACCTATCCTCACAATAGAAGATCTTCACCGCCGGTTTTACAACAAACCATCACTATTCTAGCTCGAGTCTAAGATAAGGAAACGCTCAGCTAGTCACAATCGCAGCAAGCCCGTCTCTGCAACAAAGTCATTGTCCAAATTTCTGACTTCAGCATTGCCCGTATTCTCGCGTTTCCTAGCAGAGATGCAACCAAACCCGAATAATCGTCGGTCTCATTCGCAAAGTCATCATAATCCCGCCATGCGGGTAGCCTAACACCAATCAACGGCTATGAGGCCACGGCAGGCTCCGGCGAGGCTCCAAGTTCGTCTAAGAAGTAGTACAATATCATGGTATAAACCATGTATTTACACAGTTGTTGTATGCTGCATATCGTTCGCGAGGGGTCAGCGTAAATGAAATCATCCATCCATCCATCATCCATCCATCCATACTGTACGACACATTCAAGCTTGCTTCTCATTTGCTTTCCCATTTAGTCCCTGATTAAAGAATGAGTTTACAAACGGAAGACTGTTCGCCAACGGAAGCATTCTCGTCAACTCGAATCGTACATAATGCTGCCAAGGTGACCCACGCTAGAAGGGCTTACCAGAAATTGCAGCGCAGGAGAGAGACCCTTTTTAAAAAGGCTTTCGAATACTCCAATCAGTGCGAAGCTGATATTCAGCTTATCGTACGAAGAAAGAAGACAGGCCAGGTTTTTCTTTAACCTCGAAACCAAAAGGGTGGCCGCTCTCCGCAGAGCAGCTGGTAGGCTTCCGCAGATACTGGTTCCGGGATGGACTTTAGGAACCGGACCCGGACCAGGCTCTGGTCCGGGATAAAGTGCTAGGAACCAGACCCAGACCGGAACCAGTGACTGGGAACCCAGATTTCCCAGTCTTGTCCCAGTTTTGTCCTAATTTTGCATAAAATATTACTATACTGTAGTCTTAATATGCATAAAATAGAAATTACATACTGTTATTTACCCGCTTACTCCATGGTACGGTTAGCGCGACGCAGGAAACGGCCGCTCTGTGGCCCGCACTGAGATTACACCCTAAATGCGAGAACACGGTAAACCCCCACGTGACCCTAAGGATATACTCCTGGCGTGACTCCAAGGAGTAGGCAGAGGAGTATACAGCGACTCCGGAGCTACTCCCTGAGAGTAGGCTCGGGAGTAGAAAGGGCTAGATATATAAGGACACTCATTTAGCATCATGTATTTAGTTCTTCGCGATCAATTGCACATTGTTACTTGGTTACTACCAGCAGTACTTTACACTTCACAGTTCACCTTTAAGACAACCCAACCTACAAGTAGGGGATTCACTCAGTGGTAACACTTAGTGACTGACTTACTTGGCGCGCACTTCTGGCACATTCTGCAAGACACTCAACAGGATCTATCCCGCAGTAAGGCTTTACGAAGCAACGGTACGATTGAGAGTTACTCTTGGAATCCGCAGTTGGAACTAGGCAAGTATAACCCGTGGACATTCTAACTCACAGTGACCAGTCGGCACCGCGTAACAATTAGATAGCGTATACAACTATAAACACTTCTAATTAGCTAGCTTTTTTTTAATAGAGCAGCATTAGTATTAAACAAAGAGATCTCGTCAGGGATGGTGCTGCGGTACTTACATAGAATATATATTTCCTACTCTATATACTTCATCTACCGCTGTATCTTCTAAAATAACCATCCAGTGATTGAATTAATTTAAAAAAGATAGGAGTCTTCAATTTCTAATACCTAATTAGCTATATACAATTAGATTTCATAAAATTTCCTAGGAATATAGCTGAGTTCAGGGAGATGTTAAAGTAGTATACCAAAACACTGTTTAATAACAGTAAAAATTCGGATGAATCATTGTTTTATCCATCCTATTCGGGAAAATTATGCAAAAATATGAGCTTGGCGGGACTCCCATGGGCGAACTAAGAGACTTGGTCCCGTGGGATTGATGGGACTAATAAGGTCATGGTCCCGTGGGAGTGGGACTAAATTTTTACTAGTCCCATGGGAGATGTCAATGTCTATTTATGATACAGTCACCAAAGGGCTTGCAAGACCTTTTCCTCCTCGTAGCTGAGTGCAGTCTACTGGTCCATCAAAGTATACTCATTTGAATTGAACTTATTGATCTTGATTCTGAGTGTATTTGCCCTAAGTTCATATACGCATTCGATGAGTACCAGTACCCTGACTATGCCAGAATGAAATAGAAGGGAATCAATATGTATTTGACATATAGATAGTAAAGTTTCAACGCCTAAAAAATTATCAAGCGCCTCTTTGTATGGACCCACATGTGCGATGTGCGGTAAGCGATATGCGAGGTCGGAAATGCGAAGTATGGACCCACTCCTAAGACTATTCCAATTTTGGCCTCATGCACTGGCTTTTCACCAGCAGAAAGCTATTATAAGTAGATTGTGTAGGTATCACCAGATCATTGAAAGTGAATTGTCAATTTCTGTGATCCGTCCTTTACTCTCTCTTCTTTACCCTAATTCATCCTTCATAGAGCGAACGTCTGCATTCCTGCAATTATCCAAGATGTCCAGCAATCCTTATGGCTACAACCCTAACCAAGGAGCAGCTATGGTATTCACACTTCTTTTTGCAATTTGCAGCATCTGGCATGTATATATCATGTTCCGCCGCGGCGTTTGGTACTTCATGGTTCTCATAATTGGTTGCTGTTGTATGTTCATCAATCCACAATGCCCAGATTCCACTCGACTGGTCTGAAGTGGCAGATTTGCAAATCAAACCAGGCTCTTCATTGCCGACCGTTTGCTGATTAATGTCACCAGTCGAGACAGCAGGTTATATTTGCCGCTTCCTTTCCCACAACAATACGGACAACCTTACCCTCTTCATCGTTCAAACTCTGTCGATTCTTGTTGCACCGGCCCTCTTCGCGGCTTCAGTCTACATGGTTCTAGGCAGGCTCGTGTTGCTGGTTAAGGGTGAGTCTTATTCAGTGATAAAGCCATCACACCTCACGAAGATCTTCGTCGGGGGCGACATCCTATGTTTCTTCGTTCAAATTATCGGGTCCGGAACGTTATCAACAAAATTCACTCTTGGAAAAGCGATCATCCTCGTGGGCCTTGTTGCGCAGATCGTCTTTTTTGGTCTCTTTGTTCTCGTCGCCGTCATATTCCATCGTCGTCTCTCGAGAAACCCAACTCCAACTGCACAGAGGGTAGATGAAGATCACCCCCGGTTGAAGTGGAAAGATATCACACGCGTCATATTTGCGGTTAGCGCGATTATATTTGTTCGATCATTGTTCCGCCTTATTGAATTCACGGGTGATAGCAACTCACCTATGATGAATACTGAGGCATATTTATATATATGTGACTCGACACTCATGTTCATCGCTCTGGCTATATTGATATATTGGCACCCGGCGGAATATGTTGGTAGTCGCAAGTCTATCCTACAGATGCACCACCAGGAAATGATGTGATGTACTATCCCAGAAAGTACCGGGAAGAGTTCGACTGGGGAGGGGGGATCGTGTCCATGTGAAAAGATTTCAAAGTATAGAGAAAAGGCGATATGAAGACATCTCTTGTCATGTTTGAAGACTATGCCGCGAGGGTAGTCCCACGAATTTCATTGTTAATTCAATTGAAATTGGAAGCAGGGAACTATGAATTGTATCCGAATATCTATGATTTAACCACGATAAGCTAGGCTAAGTAACATTGTCCCTTGACTCTGGATGAATCTCCAGACGAAATGGAAAAAATTGGAATTGAGGTTTGTCAATTTTGCAGGAGGCTCCTGGGCCTTCCAAGTATCTTCTTGACTTCTATAAACACGTCATAAGCAGTGCTTCTGCATCTTCCTTGTTTGCCATCTCAATAATGGTTGCGGGCAACGATAAATGTTCTTTCCACTTCGCATCAATGACATCAACCATGACCCCGATATCATGTTGCGGAAGACCATGGTAAATCCATGAATCTGGGAGAAATTTGAATAGTGCGAGGTAGTAGGCCAGTATGACAAGCGCTTCTGATCGGTTTTGTTGCACGAATGTGAAAAAGTCGGGTGATATTACATCAAAGGCCCATCCTTTAATCTTCTTCTCCAAGAATTGTGTCTCATACGGAGTTTTGAGGATTGATACGAGTCTCCCAAGTTCCGCGGCTACAGTCCTCAACGTTAACTCATACTGAACATCGTTCCCGCGTTCATTGATCTCCAAAGCACGCTGGATAGTGTGGGGCACCACTGCCGGTGCAAGACGGTCTGCAAAACACCCATATAGACCGCCGAACTGCGGTATCTTTTCATCATCATGCGAAGGCCTTGACAGGTCTCGAACACCTCGGAAGTTCCGTTGGCCGAGGGCCAAAGCCATCCAATTCGTTACCCATAAGCCAGATTGATTCGTCCATCGATCGGCGGGGAATGAGACCGCTGCAAGGAGGACTGAGGCACCCCTCAGAGCGTGTATATTATCGTTTGATAGATTTGCCACGGCTTGGCGTAAACCACGTAGCGCCTGATCCCGGTATATGAAAAGAGGAAAATGCTCAGCGGAATTATCAACGCAGCAGAAATGAACCATGGCTACCAGGAGAACAGCATCCATAAGAAATTCGTGTTCAAGTGCCAATTGGGGAATTTGTACTTTTAACGCATTTACCACATTTTCGTCGAGTGTATTGGCAAGAGCCTGTGCGGCGAAGATGCTGTAATGATGCATGAGACGGAGATCGAGCAGACACTTTGGGGAGTAACGCGGCTCCTCGGGAACATCCTGCACTGGATGGAGTGCATGGCTTGGAGGGGTGAGCCGCTCGATGGCTTGTGAGTCAGACAGAGGCGATGTCGACCTTATGGCTGGCCTCTCAAATGAGCAGACCTCTTCGCGCCGCGTGCAATCTTTACATCTCGGTCTTGACTCGTCACACTAGAAAAAGTCAGCTCGCATTTCATGCAGACCCAATTGAATCGTCGCTTGCCTTGACATGTCTAGATTTACAATTCTGGCACCCGTTTCGTGATTTCCGATGGAATCGGATCCGTTGGGACATCGTGGGAGAATTTTGCGAAGCCGATTATTGAGCGGCAACTGTTGTACTTCGGCAGCAGGGCGCGGGCGCGGGAGAAATCAAGGGGCGGCACATCGCTAGTGCCTAGAGTTTGAGTTCAGGCCATTCTTCGGGCTACAGTAGAACCTGGTTACAACGACCCTCCTGACAACTAGTTTCTGGATTTGCGAACCGATTTCCCTTGTCAAAATTAGATTTTCCAAATAAACTACGAGTACCCTGGCTACTACGAATTCGTTGGGTTTCAAACCAGAAATTCGTTATATTACATAAGTATACTAGCCCCTTTAGGCAATAGCCTAACCACCTTCGGTTAAATGCATCACGTGATATCAAAAGTCACAGATCTACCTAAGCTCCTGAGGGAAGTACACAGGCCATTCTCGCTCGAAATATATCTCTAGATATTTAACTGTATCGTACTACAGACCTCAACGAATTACTAATTATAGTTAACGGATAAACTATGAATATATATAATGCTATCGAAAATTATGGTATTTAGTCAAGAAAATATTGAATATGGGCAGGAACACAGAGATATGGCCGATTACCTAGGACAGTCAACGCGATCAGGGTGAAGATCAGAGTGGCTTGCATTCGCGCCGCGTACTGTGGCTCCGAAATCGGTTTCTTACCTCCTCCACTCTTCGGTCATTCCCTGGGCAGATTTCAGATTTGGGCCCATTTCGTGTTGTGGGTGCTCGTCCGCTTGTGGAGGTTCAGCCTTGGCCCAAGGCGACATTGAAGTCAGTCTCGCCTTCGATTTGACCAATCCTGGGTTAGGATTCGATAGTATATGCAAGTGCCAAGAGACCACGGTTTCAGCTAGATCTGGGGAACCAATAAGGCTGTATCTAAACTCCGACGAGAGAGGGTCAGTGCGGCGTCTCGCGACGGAGGGTGAGAATCACCCGCTCTCACCCGACTTCTCACCCTGTCTATTGCGCACTCACCCTATCTCACCCCAGTTGCGCGACCATAAAGCGGCGCTCACCCTAAACTCACCCGGGCGGCACCCACTCGACTATTTTCTGCACATAAGCCACACGCCGGCCAGTTAGTAGTATGGTGGGTGACCACATGCGAATCCTGGCTGTTGTATGTCCGTGTTCACCCGTTTTTTGCCATTCGTCGGGACGTCAGCCCTTGCCGCTTTACTCTTCAGCCCCTTCACCTGAAGGCCCTGAAGCCCCTCTATTCTTCACCCGATCGCCCTGAAGACCCCTGAAGCGGTGACGTGGCCCCTCGGTTAAACTTTCCCTCCCTCTTTCCAGCCCACATTCTAACTCCTTCTTTCCTTTCTTGGTGGCCTGAACTGATCAGAGCTGATCACGGAAAATAGATTCACCGTGGCTATTACAACTGTCTGGTCTGGTCTTGGTCATCTTTTCTCCAATGAAGCAGTGAAGATTCTGACCAAGCAAGAGGCGCAGAAACGAATGGCTCGCTCCCATGGAAATAACAACAATTAAAGAGATCTCCCGTGGCCGGACGCATGGATTCTTCACCGATTAAACTTGAATTAGACTGGCGACAACCTTTTTTCTTCCAGATGGACCGCCATGTGAAGGGCCAGAGGCTCCATATTTGGAGAGGATCCACGCCCCTGGGCGTATTGGGCGGTGTTAACCTGACCCCTTCCAAGTTGGATTATAAACCATAGCCCACTAGACTGGGTACAGATTCGTATTTTGATAGAGCTTTTTCGAGCATGGGGATACCTCAGAAGCTGGTCAAGGAAGCCCTCGAGCAACGTAGCATGCGTGAAGCCCTTGATTAGACAAGAGAGCCTGATTCTATCTTAGAAAGAGGCGGGTAGGACCTGATACTGCTATATTCGAAAAAGGGTTGGCTGTTGTAAACTAGCAGATTGTTTCGTGGACCCGACTTTAGCAAGCGCTTGTCCATCGAGGGTTTAGTATCATAGCCCTCTTTCACCAACAAATAGCCCTGCTTTAACGCGATATAATATACCGCGTCTCAAGGAAAACATGCCAGGCATGTGCAAACTTATTGGAGTCCATGCTCCCTCCCTTCCACAGTGCCCGACTTCCCCAAATAGAGACTGGGTCAAGACGTGGTCCCATTGTTTTACGCATCAATCTTTCCTCCTCCAAGCCGCAATCTACTTTGTAAGTGTGGGGGCGTGACGTGGCACAAGGCTCAGTCAGCTGCTTCATCTACCCCGCCGCCCTATCTCGGCGCTTATAGGATAAAATCGGAGAGCGTCTTTTTCAAATCTCCAGCCTTTTACACCATGTTGGATATGAACATTTCACAAAGTCCCGACATGTATACGATCGGGTGGATCGCTGCTCTTCCCATCGAGCGTGCTGCTGCGATAGCGATGCTTGATGAGCGCCATGACAAGCCCCGCGGCTTCGTCCAGCACCAGGCTGATTCAAACTCATATACTTGGGGTCGAATGAGCGAGCATAATGTGGTTATTGCCTCACTTCCCGCAGGCTCATATGGAACAACTCCCGCTGCGACCACTGCATCAAATCTACTTGCCTCTCTTCCAGATATCAGGATTAGCCTGTTGGTAGGAATTGGTGGCGGCATCGCGCGGCCAGACCAAGGTCGTGATATCCGACTTGGGGACGTTGTCATCAGCGAGCCGCAAGGAACGACGGGGGGAGTGGTCCAGTATGATCTAGGGAAGACCAAGTCTAATCAAGAATGGGTGCGGAAAGGCTTTCTTAGCATGCCCCCAGGGGTCCTCCTCCACGCACTGGCCAGCTTACAAGCGGACCACGAATTAGGGGAGTCGAGAATGTCTAAGTTATTGAAGAGCTTACCGAAACTCAAGAAGGGCGATAATGGATACTCCCATCAAGGCTTCGAGAATGACCGACTTTTCAAACCATCTTATCAACACCAAGGCGGCCACGACTGCCAAAACTGCGATGCAGTGGAGATGATAGGGCGCGGTCAGCGAGACAGTACTGATCCCGAAATACATTACGGTACTATCTTATCTGGGAATATGCTGGTGAAGGACGCCGCCACGCGGGACCAAATTGTGGACAGTATGGATGAGAAATGTATCTGCTTCGAAATGGAAGCCGCTGGCCTGATGAATCACTTCCCTTGCATTGTGATCAGAGGAATTTGTGATTATGCAGATTCACACAAAAATGATCGTTGGCAACGCTATGCTTCTGCTACTGCTGCGGCCTACGCGAAAGAGCTTCTTCGCTACGTTCCAACGAGAGCTCTTCGGGAAACACAAGCGGCTCTAGATGTGCTGAGGTCCGGTGAGATCGTCTAATTGCCATTAATACTCAAGACATTTATTAACGGCTCTAAATGGAAAAGATATTAGTGCGATTAATGCTGTAGCAAGAGTCACAAAAGCACAAATTGAGGCCGTACGATTCGACAGCCATCTTCATAAGATTCATGGTTGGCTCTCACCTCCCGACACGTCCACAAACTTGAACGAGGCACTGAAGAAGCGACAGGACGGAACTGGCTCTTGGTTCCTTGAGAGTGAAGCCTTTCAAACCTGGAAGGCTGGGACACGAGGAGTTCTCTGGTTGCATGGCCTTCCAGGATGTGGCAAAACTCTACTCAGTGCGAGACTTATTGAGTACCTTAACCAGCATATCAGTCCCCGCTGTGTCGTCCTTGATTTTTTCTTTGACTTTACCGACCCTAAAAAGCAGACGTTTGACAGCCTTGTCCGCGCACTGGTTGCACAGCTTTACACACGGTGTGAGGATTCCCGAAAGGAGCTGGACAGGCTTTTTGCCTCCTGTGAAGATGGTTGCCGGCAACCAGCATGCGAAATCCTTTCTACCACGTTTATGCAAATGCTGGGCTACATCGGAAGCATTCAGATTATCATAGACGCCCTTGATGAGTGTAAAACACGAACGGAACTACTTCCTTGGATGGAAAATCTCACTCGAGCCGGCCACACAGGGCTCCAACTTCTCGCCACTAGTAGGAAGGAAGCCGATATTGAATCGCACCTTCGTGGTTGGCTAGACCCCAGGGACGTGGTACCGGTTCAGACGAATTCGGTTAACCACGATATTCGGGCATATATCCATCACCACCTCCAATATCATCCTCATTTTGAGAGATGGCATAGAAACCAAGGCGTGCGGGACGAAATTGAGACACAGCTTATGGAAAAAGCGGATGGGATGTACGAAAGCTTTTTTCCCTTTCGCCTTGTGACCAAATACTGAGGACCCTTGACGCAGGTTTAGATGGGCCGCATGTCAACTTGAAATTCTTCAAGGGAGCCTAGATCTTCGAATGCTTCGGGAAACGCTGAAATCTCTACCCAGGACATTGGAAGGGACGTACGCTCGGATCTTGGCAAGCATTGATGAAAACTATCGAGCCTACGCATTAAGGATTCTACAGTTTCTTACTTATTCCGAACGCCCCTTGACAATCCAAGAAGCGGTGGACATCGTCGTTATCGATCCAAATGGCCATCCTCTGTTTGATCCCATGCTGAGAATGCCTAATCCTCAAGATATCGTACGGGTGTGTTCTACTTTAGTCACTCTGGTGGTGAAAGAAAGTGGCCGTGGTAGGATGGAGTCATCAACTGAAATCCGGCTATCCCATTTCTCTGTTCTACAATACCTTCGATCCAACCGCATTGAGCGCGCTTTCTCCCCGAAAGGTAGCGAGTGCAGTATGATATTTCAGAATGGTTTGAACGAGAGCAACGCAAGAAGAGAGATCACAAGGGTATGTCTTGCATATTTGTCCCACCTTCATATGCAAGCATCAAAGAAGAATATAAGGTGGCATTCAAAGATGAATTTCCCGTTCTCAAACTATGCAGCTCAATACTGGATGGATCATGCTCGAATTGCGGAGGCCAACGAAGATATCCTACAAATAGTGGTTGCATTTTTCATGGGACGACATAAGGGATACAGTACCTGGGTTGAGCTCTTCGACCCACATTGGGATTTTGGCGACTTGGCAAAAAGGCGAAGAGGATCAACCCCACTTTACTACGCAAGCTTGGGAGGATTGCAGTATACGGTGCGGCAGTTATTGCAGAAGGGCGCCAATATAAACGCAGAGGGTGGCCGGTATGGCTATGTACTCCAAGCTGCTTCATCTCGAGGCCACGTGGAGGTTGTGGAGCTGCTGTTAGAGAAAGACGCTGATGTCAACGCACAGGGTGGGGCTTATGGCAATGCACTCCAAGCCGCTTCACATAAAGGCTATACAGAGGTTGTGCAGTTGCTATTAGCGAAAGGTGCCAAAGTCAACGCAGACAGTGGGAGATTTGGCAATGCACTCTACACCGCTTCATATCGAGGCCACATAGAGATTGTCCAGCTTCTACTAGAGAAAGGCGCCGATGTTAACGCTCAGGGTGGGGAGCATGGTAATGCACTCCAGGCGGCTGTGTCTTTCGGCCACTTAGAAGTTATGCAGCTTCTGCTAGAGAAAGGCGCCGATGTCAACGCTCGGGGTGGGGAGTATGGCAATGCACTCCAAGCCGCTTCACATAAAGGCTATATAGAGATTGTGCAGCTGCTATTAGCGAAAGGTGCCAAAGTCAACGCAGACGGTGGGAGATATAGCAATGCACTTAACGCCGCTTCATATCGAGGCCACGTGGAGATTATGCAGCAGCTACTAAAGAAGGGTGCTAACGTCAACGCACAGAGTAGGCGGTATAGCAGTGCACTTCAGACTGCTTCACATAAAGGCCACATAACGATTGTGCAGCTACTACTGAAGAAAGGTGCTAATGTCAACGCACACGGTGGGAAGTATGGTAGTTCACTCCAGGCCGCTTCCTCTAGAGGTCATATAGAGATTGTGCAGCTACTGCTAGAGAAATATACAGATGTTAACGCACACGGTGGGAAGTATGGCAGTTCACTCCAGGCCGCTTCCTCTAGAGGCCACATAAAGATTGTGTAGCTACTACTAAAGAAAGGTGCCAATGTCAACGCAAACGGTAGGAAATATGGTAGTGCACTCTAGGCCGCTTCCTCTGAGGGTTACTTGGAGATAGCCTATCTACTCCTAGAGAAAGGCGCCGATGTTAACGCATAGGACGAGGAAAATAGCAATGCACTCTATGCCGCTTCAAATGACGACTATACAGAGATTATGCATCTATTACTTACGAAAGGTGCCAATATTAACGCCGAGGGTGGCGAGTATGGAAATACACTCTACGCCGCTTTATATAAAGGCTATATAGAGATTGCGTAGCTACTACTTGCGAAAGGTGCTAATGTTAACGCCGAGGGTGGCGAGTATAGAAATACACTCCGGGCTGCTTCATCTCGAGGTCATACGGAGATTATGCAGCTTCTACTAGAGAAAGGCGCCAATATCAACGCCGAGGGTGGCGAGTATAGAAATACACTCCAAGCCGCGTCATATAAAGGTCACACGGAGATTGTGCGGCTACTACTAGAGAAAGGGGCCGACATCAACACACCGAATAAGGAGAACGATGATACGCTCCACACCGCTTCCTCTCGAGGCCACATAGAGATTATCCAGCTACTACTAGCGAAAGGCGCCGATATCAACGCATAGGGTAGGTACTAGGGTAATACGCTCTCCGCCGCTTCTTATTAAGGCTATCTAGAGATTGTCCAGCTTCTTTTAGAGAAAGGCGCCAAGGTTAACGCAGACGGTAGGAGATATAGTAATACGCTCTACGTCGCTTCATCTCGAGGCCACGTGGAGATTGTCCAGCTTCTACTAGAGAAAGGCGCTGATGTTAACGCACAGGGTGGCGAATATAGGAATGCACTAAAGGCTGCTTCATCCCAAGGCTATATGGAAATTGTGCAGATGCTACTAGAAAAAGGCGCTAATGCCAACGCACAGGGTGGGTAGAACCCTCTTTATATCGCTTCATCTCAAGGCCATATAGGGATTGTGCAGCTGCTGTTGGCGAAAAGGGCCGATTTCAACGCACAGGATAAGGAAGATTGTAATGCACTCTACACCGCTTCATCTCGAGGCCACATAGAAATTGTGCAGCTTCTAATAGCAAAAGGCGCCGATATCAACGCACCGGGTGGGTACTACGGCAATCCACTCCAGGCCGCTTCACATAAAGGCTATATAGAGACTATGCAGCTACTACTAGAGAAAGGCGCCGATATAAACGCACAGGGTGGGGTATATAGAAATGCACTCTTCGCTACTTCATACAGAGGCTACTTAGAGATTGTGCAGCTACTGTTAGAGAAAAAGGCTAATATCAACGCACATAATATAGAGAATGATAGTGCACTCCAGGCAGCGGCCTATTACGGCCACTCGGAAATTTTGCTGCTGTTGCTGGAGAAGGGAGCCGATGTCAATGCACAGGGCGGGAAATATGGCAATGCACTCCAAGCCGCGTCATATGAAGGCCACACGGAGATTGTGCGGCTGCTACTAGAGAAAGGGGCCGACGTCAACACACCGAATGAGGAGAACGACAGTGCGCTCCACACCGCTTCATCTAGAGGCCACATGGAGATTGTGCAACTGCTGCTTGAGAAGGATGCCCATTCGCAAAGGGGCAAGTTCGGTATTAGAGATTGCATATGATTTGGCAAACTCCGCAATTCGGGGAGTTGGTGTCCCCCCTTAAACCTGCGGGCGTCATGAATCGGAGATCGAGGGAGCCGCGTATCGTTTACTCATCCATTGCATGCATGACATAAAATCTGGTGCTCTCATAATGCGCTCTTGAAACAGGTTGGACGCGTTACACTTTCGAGCAACGAGGTTCAGTTGCATTGTTCACAATTTCATTAACGGCCTAGGCTTCATGTGTTATACTTCGGGCGCCCTGCAGCTGGAGCTAGACAAGTCCCAGTGGCAATCTTTCATCCGGACAAATGGACTGGGTCTCCCATGGCAGGCCGTCACTGGCACGGTTGTCTTCACCACCGTCCAGACCAAAAGTTTGTATGAACAGGCCAAAGATAGCGCCCGAGGCAGGCAGACACTGCCTCTGATGATTGGTGACGCTAGTGCACACTGGGTAATAGCTGCGTTAATGGTGTTTTGGGGTATCGTTAGCCCATGTTATTGGGGTTGGTTTCAGACTGGCCAGAGCGGGCTCTTGTTTTGGGTTGGGGCCTTCATGGCAGCCCTTGCATGTATTATCGCCACTCGTACTTTGACGTTGTGTTCTGTTCGCTCTGATAAGACCACTTTCTTGATGTGGAGTTTGTGGTTGATCAGCCAGTGTGATTTGCCGCTGTGCGCTCTTCTTGGACGAGCTGATTGGGTTTGAAATAACTGCGGCAGTTGATGATGCAGCAGAGCAGCTGCGGCCGCCGCAGCATCAGCGAGGGGAAAGCCGTGCGAGACAGCAAGAGGCTGCTATATATACTTCTAGAATGATAGGGTAATACTTTTCCCTTCTGTCAACGAAGCTGGGGTTGATTCCCATGGGCGAGAGTCGGAGGGCGTGACTGTGGTGCTCGTATTGTTATCCGTAAGAGGTAGGCTCTCACTTGTCATACAGGACCGCCTAACCTATATAGGCAATAGTTAAGACTCATTCTTAGACCATACCGTAGCCATAGCCTCTGGTCAGTGAGACACTTATGGGAGCAGTTGGGTGTTTGCGGTGGGAGCTTACACGCAGCTTGAGGTGACTTGATCAGAGCTGACGGAGCAATAGGATTGGTGGATACCCTGAAAAGGAGATACTCTAGATCCGCTAAGATTAGTCATGTATTTTAGCTTATCCAAATTGCCAGCTAACCGTGGCGTTGACGGGTAGGGTGGTCAACGCCACGGTTGGGGGCTACAGAGCAATTCAGACCTGTTGAAATCCGATTGGTGCACTAGATGAGCTCAGCAACCCGATTCCGATAAGAGCTAGTCACGGAAAATAGATTCGCCGTGGCGAGTACAACCGCCTCTTCTTGGTTGACTCTTTTTTGTTGTAGTATGAAAGGAAACTTAATTGATATCATTTCAGAGGTATATAGAGAGGCTATATATACACCATGAAGTCCAAGTTGATTTCCAATCAACGGAAATCAACTTGGAACTTCATATAGATAGTGCAGGAATTATTTCCGATGTTACGGCTTCTTTTCTGAGCTATAGCCTCACATCACAACATTTTTCAAGGGACGTAGTGAATACTCCGACCATACCAGAGCTGCATGAGCGAAGAGATCGTCCCTATTGTAATAAACGCAAGTGAAGAGCTCTCCCATGGCCTAATGCATGGAATACTTCACGAATTGAAACCGAATCAACTGGTAATTCAAACTCCCGGATGTGAAGGACCTCGGGGCTCTTTATCTGGGGAAAGGATACACACTTTCGCAAACGTCTCTTGGATCTTGGGTTATTGTATTGTCTCCTACGAGGAATTAGTATATATTGATTTGCTAATTTTCGTAATCAACTATGGGCTGGCCGGTCTTCTACTTATTGGGTGCTTGTCCGGTCCGTGTATGGAGACTTTTGCAGGCTGCGAGTCGGCTCTTGCTTGGGGCTGAAGATAGGTAGTAGCTGCACACTATGATGCAGGCTACGGAGCAATTCTTTTGAATTTAACCAAAAGGTCCAGAGTCCACGAGACTAGGGTTTTTCGCCTGGTTGTTTGAAGTCCTATATTAAATGGTGAAAGCGCTATTCTCCAGAGATCCAGTGGTCTGCTCTAAGCACCCGAAATGTCACCAGGGTATTGGTCAGATGTTTTGATGAAGGGTATGAATGTCAGCACCAGACGGGGCGAAAACATCCAAAACTGCGTACTAATCATGTCACACTAGTTATACATATGTGAGAAGAAAAGGGGAGTCTAAGTACCTGTATCTATTGATCGCACCAACATTATTCCTCCTCGAGGGCTCAAAAGCCCGGCGTTCCTAATCGTATTTGATTGTGCCCTTACTAGGCTCGAAACACTTCAAAATGTGTCACTTATTTCATTCCATAACTCCCTGTCAATATCTCTTACATTTATCTAGTCCACTAGCATATTAGTGACTGTTTCCTGAGCATGGCAGATGCAGACTTTATACATCGGAAAATACAATGTTTCGATGTTTTAGACTTGGCTTGATTCAGCTACCATCCTGTGCAGTCCTGTAGAGAAGTCTAAAAAAACATATGAATTCACAGGACAGCAGTAACGTCAAAAAAGCAAGGGTACATCTTCCGACCATCCACCCGGCATCTCCATCCGTCGATCAATCATTGCCCAAAAGTCTCCCACGAATTCATCAGAGGGCTCACTAATCCACAAGCACCAGTCCTCTGGTGTTGGGCCGTGTGAAAATCCAATCAGCCGAATAACAAAGCGCCTCGATCTACCGAAAGTTTGGAAATCAATACAACCCCCATTTTCTTTTAGTATCAGCTCTTCCGTCTCACCGAACTCTTTTAGGTTGACATTAGCACCTTGAAGATCCCGTAATAGCGCTCTCAGGGCTTCGTTGCACTTTCCCATAAGCGAGCGTTCAAGAGGGTTAGAGAGCTGGAAACACCCGTCTAAGAAAGCATGCAATAGAGTCAGCCCGTTCATTGTCTGGTGTATGTGAAGACCATTTTCCAACATTTCTCGAAATATGATATGCCATTCCTGATAGACTTTATGCCGCATAGCCATGTCCTTGATGGTATTGTAAGGCCAATTCGAGTCGATTTTAGTGCAGCCCATACAATATGCAACACCATGAGGCAAAGTGATCATGTGAGTGCTGCCCCAAAAAGAGCTGGTGTCTGGCACTTCAAAGTTGGAAAGTGTAAAAGAGATAACTTCGAATTTGGAAGTTGTAAAATGAATCCCATTGAGAATGGCCCTGATGATGGAGGGGCCATTCCAAAAATTACGGGATAAGCAAGGCCCGATTTCGTTAATGGCAAATCGAATGCGCTGCTCATCGGATATGGTGAAAAATAATGGGCAGCAGGCTTGCTGGAGGAAAATGAAATCCTCCGCTGTGCCTCTGAACCTGTGAAAACTTCTCATCAAGACATCCCATGGATCATCCTGTGATTCATCCTCAAACTGACAGAGCAACCGTAGAAGGGGGAAGATAGATTGTGACTTCCTAGGAGGGTTTATCATAACTCGCCCTATTGTAGAAATTGGCTTCATCTTTGAATCATCTAGTGCATTTGGATCAGCTCCCTGTTCTAGGAGAAATCCCGCTACTTCAAAACTGTTGTTGTAGCAAGCCCACTGCTTTACTTTAGAAATCTCCTGCCAATGATGGGGTAATAAGCCACTCACAGATAGTAAAGTCATCCCTAATTCATCCCTTACAAAAGGGGAGACGTTCCCACTTGAGAACACTTGACGTAGGCCGTCAAGGTCTCCATCTTTAGCAAGTTTAAAAACGGGGTCACCACATGGACGAATATCATACGTGCGAAACACCCACTGCCAACCGCCGTAGGCTCTTTTCCCTTGGATTTCAAAGGCTTTCGAGGTGACCCAGGTTGGCAGACCAAGCCGCCATGAATAAATGCCTTTCTGTGATGACATATGCACGACACTGGAAGGTGACCCAGGTTGTTGTTTTTTTTCTTGATGATAGTTAGATATCATAAGCAGGATACTAGCTTTGACTGTACCTTACTGTCACTTGTGTTGTCCTTAACTTGAACCCGAGGGACCATAACTGGTTGTATCTGCATTAGAGCTCTGCAAATAATATCAGCCATAGAGCTCGCAGTGAGAAAGCTAGCCAAAAATACATTGAATAGCATTGCTGCGAAAGAGAAAGCAACCGAATCGAGTTGCTGAGCCTGGACTTGTATTTCTCCAATTTGCTTTTTTGAAGCACTATTTTAAACGAAGAGTAGGATCGCCTCAAGCGACCAGATGGACGGAGATCATTAACAAGATCCTTTGAAATGACCTGAAGGCTCTCTGCTGCTTTTTTGCAGACCTCTAGACTCTGAAATGAATGTCCATTCATTTCTATGAAATTAGCCAGTGGGCCCGATGAGAGATTCTGTTCGGTTTCCCGCAAGATGAGATTGTAAATTTCTAGCTCAGCGATGAGTGCTTGCATTTCTTCAGGCGCATCGCGGATCTCGCCCCAGCAGTCTTTGATTTGGATAATCGACTTGGAAATCTGCGTAACGACAGTTGCAAAGGTGATCGCCCCTGAAACGACCCCGATCGCTTCAGCCATCTTATCCCAGCGGCCGCAGATGAGCTGTTGAAAGAAAGAGGAGAGAGGAGAGATTCCCAGCTGAACAGCGGGGTTTCGTGGCGCATGATTCTGTTTTGCATGAGGGCGACCCATGTCGCCTTTTTCATTGGGCATCTATGTTGCGCCTCAGAGTCAGTTAGCGTTGGCTGATTGGGCCCCACCAAGCAACTTTTCAAGCAGCCAATTCATCCTTCTCGCAAGCCTAGAACTAGCCGCCTTAACTAATTGTGTCACGCTATTCTTACATCATAGTCTGCATGCTACTGTGTTCAGTCACCGGGCTTGCCGCCTTGATGAGTGCCGGATATGGTATACGTGAAAGTACACTTCCAATTCAGACCACTTCCACCAGGCTTTGCAGCAATCGAAGGTTGTTTTATGTATTTAATTAGCCATACATAGAATCTGAGGAATTATAAGAGTCATAAAGCCTGAAGCTAGGCAACAGGCGGACACTATGGTAGGGACTACTAAATGTGTTGGTATCGCCAGCTAGGTACAGTGTACACAGTTAAGTGGACAGTGTTTGTGCTTCCAAAGCAAAGGTCAATTGGTTCATAGGTAGTTGTAGATAATCTGTCTAGTTAGAAAATATCCCTGGATCCCACACGCTGGCCCTCGGCGGTCACAACACCGGAGCCGTAGCCTGGCGCAAGAATGCGTACACCAAGCAAGGGATGATATCCCTTAGAGGAGGATATATCCCGAACAAATGAATTCTGAGTTTGAACAGAGGGTTCAGAGTCCATCAGATGATGGTTCGTCGTAGGGTTGCTTAGACTCCTGGGGCCGGACCGCTTTGAAGACGATATAATAGCGCCCCTTCTTACGTCGGTCCTTCCTCCTTTGGAGCAGTCTAACAACCTCTACATGGCCTCTCAACGAGGGGCCACTGAGAGCGTTGCCGTAGCGGCCCTGGGCGTTGACATCCGCTCCCTTGTCTAAGAGCAATTTGACAGTTTCCTCATGGTTTCTCAGCGAGGCGGCCTGGAGAGCATTGCCGTAGCGACCGCCCTGGGCGTTGACATCCGCTCCGTTGTCTATGAGTAATTTGACAATCTCCTGATGGCCACGGGCCGAGGCGGCCTGGAGAGCAGTCCCGTCGCGACCGCCCTGCGCGTTGACGTCTGCTCCCTTGCCTAAAAGCAGTTTAACAATCTCTTGATAGCCTCCCAACGAGGCGGCTTGAAGAGCGTTGCCATAACGGCCGCTCCGCGCGTTGACGTCTGCTCCGTTGCCTAAGAGCAGTTTGACAATCTCCCAATGGCCTTCCGACGACGCGGTCTGGAGAGCGTCGCCATAGGAGTAGCGCCGTGCGCTGACTTCAACTCCGTTGCCTAAGAGCAGTTCGACATTCTTTTGATGGCCTTCTGACGAGGCCGCCTGGAGACCGTTGCCGTATTTGTAGTGTTTCGCGTTGATGTCCGCTCCCTTGTCCAAAAGCAGGTTGACAATCTCTCGATGGCCCCCAAATGAGGCGGCCTGGAGAGCGTTGCCGTAGCGGCCCTGTGCGTTGACGTCTGCTCCGTTGCCTAAGAGCAGCTTGACAATCTCTTGAAAGCCTTCAAACGACGCGGCCTGGAGAGCGTTGCCGTAGTAGCCACCCTGCACATTGATATCCGCTCCGTTGTCTAAGAGCAGCTTGACAATCTTCTGATAGCCTGTCGCTGAGGCGGCCTGAAGAGCGTTACCGTATACCCCGCCCTGTGCGTTGACGTCTGCTCCCTTGCCCAAGAGCAGATTGATAATCTCTTGATAGCCTCCCAACGAGGCGGCATGGAGAGCGTTGCCATATTCGCCACCCTGTACATTGACGTCCGCTCCGTTGTCTAAGAGCAGCTTAACAATCTTCTGATAGCCTGTCGCTGAGGCGGCCTGAAGAGCGTTACCGTATACCCCGCCCTGTGCGTTGACGTCTGCTCCCTTGCCCAAGAGCAGATTGATAATCTCTTGATAGCCTCCCAACGAGGCGGCATGGAGAGCGTTGCCATATTCGCCACCCTGTACATTGACGTCCGCTCCGTTGTCTAAGAGCAGCTTAACAATCTTCTGATAGCCTGTCGCTGAGGCGGCCTGAAGAGCGTTACCGTATACCCCGCCCTGTGCGTTGACGTCTGCTCCCTTGCCCAAGAGCAGATTGATAATCTCTTGATAGCCTCCCAACGAGGCGGCATGGAGAGCGTTGCCATATTCGCCACCCTGTACATTGACGTCCGCTCCGTTGTCTAAGAGCAGCTTAACAATCTTCTGATAGCCTGTCGCTGAGGCGGCCTGAAGAGCGTTACCGTATACCCCGCCCTGTGCGTTGACGTCTGCTCCCTTGCCCAAGAGCAGATTGATAATCTCTTGATAGCCTCCCAACGAGGCGGCCTGGAGAGCGTTGCCATATTCGCCACCCTGTATATTGACGTCCACTTTCTTCCTAATTAGATCTTGTGCAGGCGCTATAAGCCCATGGAAGCAAGCATAGTAGAGCCTGGAACCCCGCGGGGGACCGGGGTCGGTGTCCCAACTCCTATCAGCCTGATACAAACGAGCCCATCGTTGGAATGTCGCTTCCTTTTCAAGGAATCTCACTGTCTCTCGAACTATATTCTCGGAAGACTGAGCTAATACAGCATGGCTTGTCCAGAGTTCCGCCGCATATCTTGCCATCGGAAAAACCTGCTTGATCTCTCTGTGGCTACCGTGGATGTCTGTAAGATAAGCCAAGCACGTTCTCGTGATAGAAATGCTGGCAGTTGTGATCTTGAAATGATTCACTCCGAGAAGGTACTCTTTAACGGAAAAGTGAGCAAGATATAACTCTTTGTCGGTGGCGTGAACGACTGTAACTAAGCTTAGACAATAATCCAAAATATCAGTCTCACAAAACAATCGACGCTTGACGTCAAACCCTCTCGACTCGTTTTCGGGCTACGTTGCTATTACTTCTTTAGCTTCGGCTAGCTTAAGAGGTCGCCGAGAGTGCACTAGGAATTATAGGAGGCGTATAGCGTCGCATTTTAACTCTGTCGGTATATTTGCAATCATGCGTCCGTATGTCTCATTTAGATTCTTAGGCAAAGATACGAGAGCCTCCTCTATAGCTACCTCGTGACGACAGCGAGCTAGGCTATCTAATTGACAGGACGCCCATTTAAACCTAAGCAGTTTGTCAGTAAACCATTAGTATATGGATCGAAGCAGTAATATCTCACATCCCATCGGCCCCATCCCTAACCTTCCTCCGGATCCCTTCGAGAAGATTCTTAGATAAGGGCTTCTCTGTAAAATCACGCCGTTGAGAAAGCTGTGCTATAACCCACGATCGGATATCAGAGTCAACAGCCTACTTATTAAGTGGTAGGCAATTTTGCTTTCCTATTAAAGGGGGAACGTAGCGCAGAAACTCGGATTCAGGTCGACTGGTACAAAATAGCTGGACACGGGCTAACTCTAGCCTAGACACCACTTCCTTAATCAACAGGAGAACATCCTCCCTATTTTTGGATTTATCCAATGCGTCCAGAACGATAAAGACCTTCCTCTGGACTACCAGAATCTTAAATATAATATCCGAGAGCGCCTTTGTCGCAGGTTGGTCGCTACCATTCTGGTGTGCTTAAAATAAAGCATTAAGATACCTCTCTGAGTCAGCCCCGCCTTGGTAAAGTTGGAAAGCAAGCGACCGCAGCATGCCATCAAAAGTCTGCTTTATAGTGTCGCTAAAGTCGAAGAAAAAGCTGAGGATAAGAGCGTCGTTTCCCTTCGCGAGATAATCAAGCACAGTCGCACTGAGAACCGTCTTTCCACATCCCGCGAGCCTATGTAGCCATAAATGTCGACGCGACCCCGAGTGCCACGACTAGAAGACGGGGTTTTCGAGAAGCCACGCGCCTGTCCCCTCATAGCGGAGCTTCCTCGCTTGGTTGGCGTTTGTAGACGGATCCGGGGGACAAAGCCAGCGCCTGATCTTATCGGTATGAAGGTCAGACCTTATAGAATCAGTGGCAACTTTCGTTGCAGCTGTCATCTGCCGCACACAATCAATCTGTTCCTGAACTACTCTCAGTCAGGAGGTATCCCAATTTCGAATGTTATTCGGTCTTGTATATTTGCTAACCTAGCTAATGAACGAGAAACAACTAACCTAGTTCCAGTGCCCTCTTGGTCTCTTGGATCTCTGCGACCGGCACGTACGCCATAAGCTCCTTGGCAAACGCAGCGGCGGTCGCCGAGGCGTAGCGTTGCCATCGATCGTTCTTGTGAGAATCGGCGTAGTCGCAGATCCCTCGGATCACAAGACACGGAAAGTGGTTCATTAGGCCGGCCGCTTCCATCTCAAAGCAAATACAATCCTCGCCAAGTTGGGCAACAATTCGATCGCGCGTAGCGGCGTCTTTGACGAGTGTGTTACCGGATGCGATGGTCCCGTAGTGGATATCGGGGTCGGTATTGTCTCGAGGTTCGCGTTGAACCTCATCAGCCGGGTCACAGCCCCGACAGTCCGGTCCAAGGACGTGGTCGCATGAAGCTATAAACAGACGGTCGTTTTCAAAGCCCTGGTGAGTATAACCAGGACTTTGCTTAGATCTCTTGCCCATCTTCGGGTTCTTCTGTAGCATCTGTTGAAGAAAGCATGGAACCTTAGAGTCTTTCCGCTCGTGATCGGCCTGGATGCTAGCAAGCGCATTGAGGAGGACCGTTGGAGGTCGTCCGAGGAAGCCTTTTCGCTCACGCTTGTCACCCGACTTTGCCTTAAATAAGTCGTACTGGCAGACCCCGCCCGTGGTCCCACCAGGCTGGCTCACGACAACGTCACCGAGCCGAATATCGTGGCCCTCATCCGGTCGAGCGATGCCGCCGCCTATGCCCACTAAAAGTCCAACGCGGATGGATGGTAGAGAGGCAAGCAGGCTTGAGGTCGCTGTCGCAGCAGAAGTGGTTCCGTAGTCCCCAGCAGCCAGAGAGGCAACGACGATGTTGTGCTCTCCCACATAGCCCCACGTATAAACGTTCGCGTCGCTTTGGTGTCGAGTGAAGCCGGTTGGAGCTGCATGTTCCTCGTCGAGCATCGCTACCGCAGCGGCACGCTCGATGGGAAGAGCCGCGATCCAGGCGATCGTATAGAAGTCAGGACTGTCGAGGGCACTGAGTGATGTCATGGTGCGGAGGAACGAGCATGAGGCTGTCAGATATGCTGCTACAATGATAGGGTTATACGGTTCTCTTCCGTCGACGAAGCTGGAGTTGATTCACATGGGGAGAGACGGAGGACGCGACTGTGATGTGTGCATCACTGTCCGTCAAAAGAGGTAACCTTATCACTTGTCATACAGGGCCTATCCTATATTGGCATCAGCAGGATCCATTCTTAGTCCATCCATCCCACTCTGGCAGGATAGAGACAAGCCTAAGTTAGGGTCATCCCCCATCCATAGGCCCTGGTCAGTAAGACACACTTTGGAGGGCGGTAGGTGTTTGCTGTGAGCGCTTACATGCAGCACCCTCCTAGGCCTACCAATAATGGGACACCATTTGCAGTAACAACGAGTGAGGCTGAGTCTTGCATTGGCTTGCTTGGCACGCTAATGGCCAATAATTTACCGCCCAGAAAAATGGTGATGGCATCTGCGTGCATTAGCGGAGGCTAGAGTTGCTGTGGCCGCGCACTGTCTTGGCGATAGTATTCGACAAACCAGTGACCTCAAACTGCTTGACTTGATTTGTTCACTTGATAAATGAAAATGGTCAGGCCCTAGGCTTCTGGCCATAAAAGAACCAGTAGAGGCAGCGCAGAATACTAGAGATTAGGAGCAAATAATGAGTTTATGAATAGGCATTCTCGCTCTATGGCTAACTAATAGCGTTCGGCTCTGCTTAGTTTCACTTCTATTACAAATATCGTCTTATACGCTATCAATGTGTCGTTAAACTACTCGCAGTCAGGACGTTTGCCGAGTTTAAACAGCGTCGTCCTTATCGCATTGTTCCGATCACGTGCGTAACGAGTCCGTCATGGATATCGTACGCACTCTACAAGAAAATAGGTCCGACTGTTATGAGCGGTGCTCGCTGTTACTGGTATACCATTACTAAGTATAAGTACTACTGATCGAAGCCTTACAATTGTTGTTCCTAAAGAGGTGGTAGACCTCGATTTCTTAGTAGCGAAGCAAAACCAGTCCTAATATACCCTCGCTTCACGAGAGATTGTGTTCAATAAAGGGGGAGGTTGCGATAGCCGACATAAGCTTAGCGAACCTAGTACTTATACCTGTAAAGTATACTACCGCTCTCTATGCGTGATTTAATGAGAGACCAGACCCTATCGTGTAGTATCTACTATATTAATCCGATTGTGAAGTCGTATTACTTTAGATCTTTAATTACCAGACCTAGTTTTTAATTATTGTAGAATTGCCTTTCCCTATTAGCGTAGCTAGTCGATTAGATTAATCTATAGTAGTCGAGGTCTAATAGTATGAACTCTCACTAATAGGCGGACACATACAGCTTTGGGTTGGGTCTAGAACAAGCCGGTCCGGTCAAATTTTAACACCCAATCGGCTTGTAGAATTAGCCCTTAGTAAGGTAGGTGTCTAGAGGTTCTTTGTTTACTTACTAAGATCAGTCCTTCCACTCCCGTCTTATTCCCGAAGATATACTCGTTAGCAAACAAAGGAGGAGAATCGCTAGAGCGCTATAGGATTAGCATAAATAGACTTACCCTCGTCCATTTCATAGTCGATAAAATAAGCTTCTTAGAATTCCTCTAATCATCTCTAAATTTCAAATTCTCTTATGTTAAAGTATATAGCTCTGCGCCCACTTCTACCTTCGAAACCGGAGGACTATATATATTAACCTAATAGAATAGCACCGGAAAAGAAGGGTAGGACATCGCTTGCTTATAACGAATGTCGAAAGAGGCGAACTAAGGTAGGTTATATTTATATTTAGTAAGCTAAATGACTGACTTTACTAGTGCTCGGGTTCGTTTCCTTGTGCGAGATGCGTGGCGGAAGTATATTAGTGTGTTTTCGACCCGGAAAGCGATCGAAGGCGGAAATTATATAGCGTAAATCTTAAGGAATCCCGGATTTATCTTTAACGAGTGGTGGCTATACTACGTTCTGGGTCCCCTGATTAGATTTCGCGTTTCATATCGGAGATCTAGGGCTTTCAAATAATTTAAGAGGCAGTGGTTCACGTTATTAGAACGGCGAGAGGAACTATATAAGAGACTCGGGGGTTTTACATCTTTGAAGTAGTTATAAGTGAAAATATATTATGTACTTATGATAGCCGATTCGTTACTTAAACCGCCTAATATCTTAGAACTACTACCTAATATTCTGCGATATATGCCCGATGAATGGCCTTAAGTTAGGATTCCTAAGTGTATAATTAATTTAGCCGAGTTAGTATCTCTAACTAGTAAAGCTCTAGAGTATACGGAGTATATTAGGTGCTTTCCTGCCCTAGTGTATGGAGTACGTTGTCTATCACGTACGCCGTATATGGATCGCTACCGGAATATACGTAGCTCCGGTGCCGAGACTAGTAACAAACGGTGATTTAAGCTTAGAAGGGCGCTTTAATACTTATGCTACTCTAGCCTCCTATTCCTTAGGTACTACCTTCGGTGGATCATACCTCTCCTAATTAGCATAGCCGCTAAGGATTTAAAATGGCGAGGCGCCTAGTAGACCTTAATAACGGGTAGTGGCCTAGGGGCTATATATGATTGATGAAAAGGTGATAGTGGAAGCATGTTCCGACGCTAATGTCGGAACAGAGATGAATAAGCCATATAGGTGCACCAATAGAAATCACAATGAGTCTCTATTACTACATAGCCCCTAGCTGGCAATTTGGATGGGCAATTTACATGACTAATCCTGGTGGATTTAGAGTATCTCCGTCCTCCGGTATCTACTTATACTGCTGCCCCGACAGCTAAGCACGGCCTAAGGCACTAATCGGTCTTTTACTTTTTCCGGCCCCCGAACTCTTCTCTGTCCTACCCCTTTCCCCGACACGAACGGTGGTGTTGAGATAGAGCTAAATATAACCTCGCTCTAATGTGTTTTGTTTATAACGCTCTATGGATTAAATAGGCTTACCGGATTATAAAGAACTCTTTGAGAGAGAAACTAGGCTGCGAAGACAGGCTGAGGAAGAGAGACGATAGGCTAAAGAACAAAACAAGTATTTTACTCGTAAGACTTCCTTACTAGAATATCTTCGAACCTACTATAGCTTACTCTCTAGGCCTTTACGCGTGAGAACCCCGTCTCGCTCTACGAAAGGGAAGATTCCGGCCCCTTAAGGGAAATTTTGCCCCGCTCGCCTACTTCTATGGACGGATTATGCTGCTGCGTAGTAGGAAATCTACGATTTAGTCTGTAGCTACCTCTAAGCAATAAGCGACCACCCCGCCTCAATTATTCTCGACGGTTACGCGCCTTAAAGGTCTCGCCGACTCTTTAGATCGTCCGCTAAGCAGTGAACGGGACCTTGAAACTTATGAGAGACTTGCCGTTGAAAATCATGTGCGAGATGTTGTTTCTGAACTCTGTAAAAGTCCCGAAGCCCGGTAGCAATTTCGTCTTGGCGATGGCGTCTGGTTTGAGAGCTATACCAATAGCTTAGAGGATAATGCAGCGTAGAATAATGGCACTCACAACGATGAAGGCCAATCGTTAGCATAATACCGACTAAGGCCCGATTAGTTCTGTATCTATCGAGCTGACGACAAAAATTCTCTACTAATAACTATAGAGTATAAACCCCCTTATAAACTGACTGTTGAAAATCTACGTGCGGGCCTTTAACTAAGGATGGATTTCTGGAATGACGTGGTATAACGCAAAAAGATACTAACAGACGAAACTGAGAAGCTGAAATATAATGTAGAGTAGATTGTTGGATTAGTTCTTACTTAGGAATATCACGTTATGATCTGGGAAGGCCTTGAGATCTCCTATGTGACTATCGGCCTTGCTCTGGTCCTTCTTCGTATACCTTAGGATGACCTAGGCACGCTATATTACGAGGCAGACCGTCAGAAACCCGCGGGGGGCAGCGACAGCCAACCAAGCCCTCAAGAACGGGAACACCTACATAAGTCACGTGCAACCAATGAGACGCATTACACATATGCTTCCCAGGAGCAGGTTTACATACAAAAAGGGCTCCCAGGAGCAAAGTGGGTCAGTGTAAGAGGGCATCTTACACGATCATGCTCAGTGATCACTCGGGGTGATCAAGGACACTATGTCCTCATGGCGGACTTTGTCCTGTGTGTGTATTTACATATATACTAGGAAAGTTCCGGCACGACGGACTACTCGATTAGGTAACCACGTAACCAATCCCATCGGAGGATAGGGCGCATCCCACCATAGGATAGGGCACATCCTACGACAGGACGGGACGACTCATCACCGGATAGGAAGGACTAGATATATAAGGACATTCATTTAGCATCATATATTTAGTTCTTCGCGATCAATTACTTAGTTTACTAGGACCCTATTATATATTGTTACTTAGTTACTACCTTTAGTACTTTACACTTCATAGTTCACCTTTAAGACAACCCAACCTATAAGTAGGGGATTCACTTAGTAGCAATACTTTGTGATTGACTTACTTAGCGCGCACTTCTAGCACGTTCTACAAGATACTCAACAGAATCTATTCCGTAGTAAGGCCTCGCGAGGCAACGGTACGATTAAGAGATACTCTTAGAATTCGAAGTTATACCGAGAGGGCCGGAATCAGCCGTAACAGCATATATCGTTATTATACCGTATTACAATAACGACTTAGGTAACTATTACCCTTTCTGCACTTACTCACAGTGACCAGTCGGCTACGCATAACACATTAATCGCCCTATCTTTAAACCGTGAAGCAAAGTCATCATAGCAGGCAATAATAGCACCGTTAAGGGTAAGACTCCCACCAGAGCACCTATAACCGAACCAGACTCCGACGACGAACGGGATAACGAGATTCGAAACCTCAAAGCAATCGTTAAGGAACTTCAGAGCAACCTAAACCTCTTAGGAGGTAACTATAACGAATACGCATTAAGTGTGAAGGACCACTTAGAGTAGCTCTATACTTAAGTCGTCGCTTTAGCACCGGCAACTTCTATCGGAGCACCTAAACTTCTAAAGGCTAAGACCTTTAACGGTACTCGACACAAGCTACGAGGATTCCTCACTTAGATAGATATCCACATCGACGTTAACAAAGGACGACTCTTTACGGAAGGCAGTAAGGTCATCTTTGTGTCCGCCTACCTACGAGGGTAGGTATAGGATTAGCTTAAACCCTATATTCGGGAATACTACGAGAAACCGAATACTAAGTGGTCGAGCACCACCTAGAGTATCTTTAATAGCTATACTACGTTTA